TGTGAGCGAAGGTCCTACACGCTAAGACACCTGAACGATCTAGGACGAACAGATCAGGGGCGTGGGAGTAGCTCAACGATGCGGGACGAGAACGTTCGGAATCCGACGAGATGTTCGTAATTCGATTGTACAATAATTACCAATCGGTACTCATGAATGTGCATGTAAATATGTATGAACTCGTATTGTATTGTAAAGCAATATGAAAGAGAGAGTAAAGTGTGGTTTCTTGTATTGATTCTTGCATTAGTCCTTCAATGTTACACAATGGAAGTATTTATAGTGGTACATGTAAAATGACAGCCATTGGACGAGGTGGCACGTGGCCTCATCTCTTTAATTCAAACATCCAATCTTAGGCATCATCCTTGACTTACTAGTTTGCTGCGCATTTATTACTCATGCAGACCCCCATGCTAATGACAAGACTTGACATGTACACTTATGACAAACGTTTCATCAATCATTCTAACAAGATCTTTATGTAGAAGATCTCTTGGGAGAAGTAATTATGAAAGACGTTCCTCCATGGTTCGGAGGCTTCTGCCACTCACGTAGTACTTCCGCTTTAGGGCTTCGGCTATTTTCACAGGCCTCGGCATATGGGCCTCAGCATGAAAGGTTTCGACTATCTTCACAGGCCTCGGCATGAAGGGCTTCGGCCATACATGCCACCTCGACTAGAGCGCCACGTGGTTCGGATTGAGTGGGTCATAGGTCCAAGTAGATTGGCCAAGTATGACAACACGTAACAAGTGACACACCATGTAGAAAGAAGATAATGAGCATCTTTTCGCATTCTTTCTTTAACAATCCATTGCCAAAGTTCAGCGAGTATTTTTGTCCGCTCTTCAAAAGAGAATATGCTCCAGTGTCTCCCAAAGTTCCCTGGAATTATGATTTTAGCCCCATCGTCCTGGAGACTGAAAGGATAAAACATCCATAGGAGGCACAGCAAGTGGATCCACCATGTCAACAACAGTAAATGAGCAATTAGGTTTTAGTTTAGTAATTGGGAGGAACGACTAGGGCTCAGTGATTTAGTTAATGTTAACATTATCCATTGAATTTCTCCTCCTGATTCGAATTTGAGGGGAATGAATTTAGGTTTTATAATTGATTTATGCCATATGTAAAGAGAAGGGGTTCCTCTCGAGATCAGACCTCACGTAATTAAAATATTGTCAAAAAAATTCACCCATCCCCTTATTGTGTTTGATCACCCTCGCTATACGTGTAGTCTCTCTCTTTATAATTTGCAAAATGAGAGTAGTGTTTTTGAAGCTTGAAGTTGTGTCTTCAAGGGCTTGTTTGTGAGTTTTTCATCGATTTTAACCCTTTTTTATTGTATCGTTTACGTGAGATGGAGAAAATCAATGTTGTTAATTTTCTTGAGAATTGATTTTGGTAATTTAAAAATCACTCAAATTTGGTAATATAATTTTGATTGTATTTCTCGATCATTGATGAAATAATTATTTTCAATCTACCTATTTTATTCGAAATGAAATTATAAATAAAAATGCAATTACCAAAAAATTTACTTTAAACTAAAGATTTTACTTATGATAAACATTCACTTTTTATATATAAAAAAAAAATAAAAATAAAAAAATGTGTGCATTATACTAGTAAGACAATATTCACTTGTAAAAATTACCTAAAGTGGACCTCTCAAAAATGTTCAAAATCAATACCTTCAAAAAAAAAAAATGATAATTGGTGTTCCAAAACTCCCAAGCAAGCCCTAATGGGCATACCTGTACAGGTAGTAAGCATTTTGTTGTTATGGAAAGATTTGATAAGGTAGGAATACACATTAAAATTTTGCCAATAACGTGAAATTTTTGTCAAAGTAAAGAGATAGAATCCATCTTAGTGATGGATGGATGACACGAATATAAAGTTTATTGAGTTAAACTTTATATTTTGGGTATATGTAGTAACCCTTTTGTTGTTATGGAAAAATTTGATAGAGAAGGAATGCCACATTAGAATTTTATCAGTCACATAACATTTTTGTCAAAGTAAAGAAACGGAATACATCTCAGTGATGGATGGATAATACAATATAAAGATTTGATAGGGAAGGAAAGCCACATTAGAATTTTGCTAACATTTTTCTTGAAGCAAATAGCCGGAATCCATTTCAGTGATGAATTGATAACACAATATAAAATTTAATGAGTTTAGTGTTGAGGATTACTTAGTAATAATTGGAGGCAAAGTTTGAAGTAAAGCGTGCTTTTTAAGATGATTCTGATGAAGGAATGCTTTGTTCTATGCCCTCCTTTTGCATCATGGTGATTGTAATTAAATTCTTGTTAATGGTTATTTAATATCGATGTTTTTAAATTGTACGATTACCCCGTAAATTCTGTGGAATCCGGCATAAATTGTGAGGATTGAATTAAGCCTATGTTTGGGTTGTATTATAAACTGTGTTTATACATTCAAAACATTTTTATCCGTATATTTCAAGAAATCACAAATGCTACTTGCTTATTCATTATTTATTTCATTTTATTTATAATTTAAATTTTTATAAACATTTCCCAAACATGCTCTAAGTATATAATGGGTTATTAAGATGGATGGGAGATGGAATTTTTTATGTATGAAATTTGTGACGGATAAGATTCATAGCTAGTAATTCTTACAAGACCGATATACACTACCAAAGTCGCTTAAAAATCCATCATTAGGTATAAAATAAATGTAATAAGAAATTAAAAATCCACAATCGGTGATGAATTTTGTGATGGAAAATTATAATTAAATTCAAAGAAATAAATTTCTGATAGGTAATTGGCACAAAACGTCTCTACCTTCTATGTCTATTGTGAAAAACGTTCATACCTTTCATTTTTTGATATTTTTGCCCATACCGTCCACCTTTCTTGGCGCTGAACATCATTTTCACTAATTTTGGACAATTTTACCCTTCTTTCAAATAAAAAAAAATGAAACAACAAATAACTAATTGCAACCACAGCCCCCAATTTTTAAAAAATTACAAATCAATCACAAATATATACAAAATTTTCAATGATATGAAGTTCCTCCTCCGGAGTAAATGCACCTTTATTTAGATCTGGTCTTAGGTGGTTCGTCCACCTCAAGCAACAACTTTTTCCACACCGAGCTAGCCCCGAGTGCTTCCAGACTGCATTCCAGTTCCCATCTTCATACTTGGTAATGTACTCAATTAAAACGGTGTCTTCAACAGATGTCCAGGGACCTTTTTTAAGTGGACCATTCCCACCCACATTTCCTCCACTAGTATCTTCCTTGATGTATGTTAAATCTACACTATCTTTGGATATCATCTTTTCCTCACTTTCACTTGATATGCCCTTCACCTATTTCGTCAACAAATCAAGAAAAATGATTTAATGGTTCGATTTCCAAATTGTCAAATCAGAGATGCCAAGATAAACATCTAGAATAGTATTAGCCCATCCGGTAATTTTTGGAACTTAAATTTTATAAAAATGTTTTGCAAAAGTTCATTCATGCGAAGGCATTAATAGAAGTAGAAGAAATATTATCATTGTAATTATTAATATTATTATCTAATTTAATTTTGATACCTCAATGCGGAGAAGACGGTCTTAGAAGTTGCAGTGTACTCCCTGTGAATCAAATGGAGCCCAGATTCTAAAATAAAATTCCTTAAACTTGAAATTTAATGTTTCAAATGCAAATCCCAACCTCAAATTATCACTGTAATCGAAAAATAAGTACAAATCCAACTGAAAATCTTAAAAGAATACCCAAAAGCAGAACGATGCGCATCAAAAATTCAAGAGGAAAGATCAATCTACTATTGGTCTAAGCTATGATTTATAAAACCCAGAAAGAGAACACCAAGAAAATTCTAGAAACCCTTTTGTACAAGTGAAGAAGAGATGAAATTGGCCCAAGATTCACTTAGTCGAGAGAGGAAAATGACAAAGACGGAGAGAACGAGATGAAAGAGGTTCAGCCAAAACACATGAAAATGAAATTCGAAAAAAGAAGCATTATACGTCAAGTGTTGTTGGCACCTATGTTGAAAATTTTGTATATATTTGTGACTGATTTGTAATTTTTTAAAAATTGGGGGCTGTGGTTGCAATTAGTTATTTGATATTTCCTTTCCTTTCTTTTTGTTTTATTTGAATTGATGGTAAAATTGTCCAAAATTAGTGAAAATGACATTCAACGCCAAGAAAGTCGGAATGTAGGGGCAAAAATATCAAAAAATGAAAGGTACGGACGTTTTACACAATAGACATGAAAGGTAGAGATTTTTTATGCCAATTACCCATTTTTAATTGTGTGAGTTTATTGTTCGAGGTATTTATTACTGATAGATCTTGTACTTGGTATATCGGCAGAAACAACGTATATTGCCACTAATGTTGCTCTGAAACAGGCCACAAATAAGCACTTATTCTAGTCATAAAAATTAGAGAGTAAATTTTGATTTAGTTTCTTGAAATAACTTTAGAAAATTCTGATTTATTCTTATTCTTCCGACAATTTCACCCAGTTTCTTCAATTATTGGGCATGTTTAGCCCAGATAAAAAAAAAAATAAAAAATAAAAAAAAAATTACTTATTATATCTACTTATAAGTAAATAATTAATTTTAAACTCTGATATTATCAGATTCTTTTTTTATTGCCGACGAAACATGTATAATTGCATACCATGCATAATTTGCATGAAATTGCGCCTTAAAAATGAAAATAAGGTTGCCTATTTTTATTATAGTAAATATGTTGGAAAATATGGGATTGGTTCTCAACATAGAAAAGAATCCTAATTTGCTACAAATACTTTATTTAAACAATCAGTAATCCAAGAAAATCGGATTCTAAGTTAGAGAAATCAGAAAAGGATAGTATTGCATTGAAATTATTATTAGCAAATGAATTATAATTAGCTTAGGACTCTTTAGTTAAAGTTTGAATCACTCTCTTCTTCTTTTCTATTACTTATAAAAAGGAAATTCTGTGTTTGAGATATATGCGGGTAAAGGGTTCTTTTCAATACACAGAAAAAGTGCTTAACTTTTAAGCACAGGATTTTTTTACAGTGAAAAACACAATGTTTTTTGTCGAGTTTTCAAAATTTCTTGGTCTGTTCATTCTTTTTGCTGTTTTTCAAGAACCAGCTTTAGCCATCAAAAAGGTTAACATTGTACTCTTTTTGTTTAATGAGAATTTTTCCATCAAGCAATCACTTATAAGTTAATTATGGCTTATTTCTTTTGCAGTCTTATATTGTGTACTTGGGAGGACATTCACATGGCACGGGAGTAACTTCTGATCAACTCAATAAGGTTGCAGACTCTCACCATGAATTACTTCGTAAAATCATAGGAAGGTATGAACTTTTCTTTTTCGTTTTTTGCTCCAAAATCTGCTTATGCTAACTTTTAATCTGCAATTCCATAAGATCCTGAATATTTTTTTTGTTTTTTTGCAGTAAAGAGAAGGTGGAGGATACGATATTTTACTCGTATAACAAACATATCAATGGTTTTGCTGCAATGCTAGAAGAGGAGGAGGCAGCAAAGATTGCAAGTATGATGACACATCTATGTTTGTTATGTATTTTCAGTTATCGGGATTTGGCTCGGGACAGTACTAAAGAAGAAAAATAAGAACGAAATCGTGTTATACGGCATACCAATAATTAAAAAGCACTACTTTTCTGTCATTGTAGAACATCCAGATGTAGTATCAATTTTCCCCAATCGAGGAAGAAATCTGCACACAACCCATTCATGGGATTTTCTTATGCTGGAAAGGAATGGTGTGATTCATCCCTCTTCCATATGGAAGAAGGCCAGATTCGGAGAAGATAGCATCATTGCAAATTTTGATACTGGTTTGATTAATGAGGCTTTTGTACTTTTGCAAAAATCTCTTTACGAAATTCTGCATTTTTTTGGGAATAAAGTTGATAATGAAATCGATAAATTCTCATGGATTTGATAGGTGTTTGGCCTGAATCAAAGAGCTTTATGGATAATGAGTTAGGCCCCATTCCATCAAAGTGGAAAGGAATCTGTCAGCACAACGATGGATTCACATGCAATAGGTATCCTCTTTTTCTCCTTTCTGATAATACTAATACTAAGTTAATCGATGAATTTGATTCTGCAAAATTAGTTATTCTTTTGCATGCAGAAAATGTCATGTGAATCTATTCTCAATGATTATGCCTTTTGTTCTTTTCATTACTTTCTTTGACCGGCTTTTTTCTTCTTAACACTGTAAGATTCAAATAA